TTTTTTTTTTTTTTTTTTTTTGGTGTTTCTCCGTGTAACAGTCCTGGAACTCACTCTGTAGACCAGGCTGTAGATTCACAGAGATCCACCTGCCTCTGCCTCCTGAGTGCTGGGATTAAAGGCATGAGCCACCACCGCCCAGCCACCAATAATTTCTTTGTTCCTTAATTTCTTCCTCTTGGTCTGTCAGCATACCTTGTCAGAGTATGTTCTAATTCCTTCCCTTTCTGCTGGAATGTTCACTGGGCTGTAACTATCCCCTGTGTGATTCACTTTTGCTACCAAAAGGGAAACGTTTTCTCTAAGATGATGAGCCCTGTGGTGAGTCTCACCAGCAGATTATTAAGAATATGACAAGGAAATACTTTCTCTAAAGAGAATCAGGGATCTTTTCTTTTCATCTTGAAGCTATAACATCTTAAGACAGTGCAAATGAAGAATTTTAAAACTTTTGGTTTGTTTTTCTTCCACATCTGTTTTGGTAGAGTCAAGGTTCATAGAAGTTGAAGTTTTGATGACAGCACAGTATAAAGTGTGCTTCATTCAGACCAGTGATTGGTTTTTTTTTTTGGGGGGGGGGGTAATTAACTTTTATCACCACCACCCAGTGACTAGATTTCCTATTGTAATGTCAAGACTCTTGGCAGTGGTCAAGAGTTAGGCACTTGCATTTTATGACATATGGAGGTTTTTGTTGCTTGAGGAGGGTGGAGGAGAAAAGGAAATATATTGAAAGAATAATAACTTGACTATCCCTTAGTGCATGTTTTCCTGGATAAGGACGCTCCTCCACCACCCACTCCCCAAGCCTGCAGGAAAGATTTTTAGGTAATGTCTTTGTATGCATTGAATCATATTTTTAGTCTATCACAGCTGTAAAATTCTTCTCTTCCTAAGGGTATTTCAGGGTTCAAAGTATTACCAAAGAACAAGGATTTTGTTGTTTCTTTCTTTCTCTCTTTTCAAAAGATGACTCTCTGTAGTCTCGTCTGGCCTCAAACTCAGTGTGTAACTGAGGATGACCTTGAACTTCCGGTCTTAGGTAGCCTCTGCCTTCATGTCATCACAAGCATGTGCCACCATCCTGTTGTATTTGTTTGAGACAGGATCTCACTCTAGCCAAGCCTTATCTTGAACTCACTTTGTACCTCAGACAGGCCTTGAACTCACAACTACTACTGTTACTACTGTGGTCTCAATTTCCTGAGTGTTAAGATGCTAGGTATTTGTGACCACGCCTGACTCTAGACTAGAGACTTTTAAAGTCGAACGACTAAGCTATACTGTCAGTAGATTTACTACTGTATTGTTTTTGCTGTATAAGAGTCACTCCAAACATGTCTAGCAAGGATCCAAAGTGCTGGGTGTTGTGGGGCACACTTTTAATCTTAGCACTCAGGAGGCAGAGGTAGGTGGATCTCAGAGTTTGGAAGCCAGTGAACTCCAGGACAGAGCTATGTAGCTATACCCTGTCTTTTTTTTTTTTTTAAAAAAAAGTCTTTGGGATTGAATTTGCCTTTTTCTTTTCTTAACTAGATTATCAGTAAGCCGAGATAATCTGTTATTCACCTTCCCTATTTAGAACTCAAGGACCTGAGTGAATGAGATCAAGCAGGCATGGAAGTCTTATAACTGTGTGTACAGTAAGCCCTGTTTTTTGTAGTTTGTATTTTTTTTTGATCAACCATGGAATAAAAATATTAATTGAAAGTACAGAATTAAACAGTTCATGAGTTTTAATTGCGTGCTTTTCTGCTTAGCAAGCTGTAATCTATCCCAGCTTTCCTGGGACATGAATCAGGTACTGTATCTAAGTTGTATTCACTAGCCATCTCTTAGTTACTTATTACCTGTTATCAAACCACTCCTGCTATATTAGTGTCTGTGTTCAAGTAAATGGCCCCTAAATGTAAGAATATTGGTGCCAGCAACTC